ACTATATCATTCTTTTTTTTTTTTTTTTTTTAAAGATTTTATTTATTTATTTGAGAGAGAGAGAATGAGAGATAGAGAGCACGAGAGGGAAGAGGGTCAGAGGGAGAAGCAGACTCCCCGCCAAGCAGGGAGCCCGATGCGGGACTCGATCCCGGGACTCCAGGATCATGACCTGAGCCGAAGGCAGTCGCTTAACCAACTGAGCCACCCAGGCGCCCCGACACTATATCATTCTTAAAGGGTCTATCCAACAGGAGGATCTAACAATTGAAAATATCTATGCCCCCAAACATGGGAGCAGCCAACTACATAAGCCAACTGTTCACCAAAAGAAAGAAACAGATTGATAATAATACGTTAATAGTAGAAGACCTCAACACTCCATTCTCAGCAATAGACAGATCATCTAAGCAGAAAATCAACAAAGAAACAAGAGCTTTGAATGACACACTGGGCCAAATGGACTTCATAGATATATACAGAACATTCCATCCTAAAACAACAGAATACTCATTCTTCTCGAATGCACATGGTACTTTCTCCAGAATAGACCACATACTGGGTCACAAATCAGGTCTCAACCAACACCAAAAGACTGAGATTATTCCCTGCATATTCTCAGACCACAGTGTTTTGAAAATGGAACTCAATCACAAGAAAAAATTTGGAAGAAATTCAAACACTTGGAAGCTAAAGACCATCCTGCTTAAGAATGTTTGGGTCAACCAGGAAATCAAAGAAGAACTTAAACAATTCATGGCCAGACTTATCCAAAAGAAAAGAGAAAGGATCCAAATTAATAAAAATGAGAATGAAAACACATCAGTCCAAAACCTATGGGATACTGCAAAAGTGGTCCTAAGGGGGAAATACATAGCCATCCAAGCCTCCCTCAAAAAAACAGAAAAATCCCAAATGCACAAGCTAACTCTACACCTTAAAGAACTGGAGATAGAACAACAAATAAAGCCTAAACCAAGCAGAAGAGAAGTAATTAAGATTAAAGCAGAGATCAATGAATTAGAAACCAGAAATACAGTAGAGTAGATCAATGAAACTAGAAGCTGGTTCTTTGAAAGAACTAATAAGATCAATAAACCACTGGCTAGACTTATCCAAAAGAAGAGAAAGGACCTAAATTAATAAAATTATGAATGAAAGGGAAGAAATCACAACTAACACCAAGGAAATAGAAACAATTATATATTAAATAATAGAAATTATTATCAACAACTATATGCCAATAAATTAAGCAACCTGGAAGAAATGGATGCCTTCCCAGAAACCTATAAACTACCAAGACTGAAACAGGAAGAAATTGGCAATCTGAATAGACCAATAACCAGTAACAAAATTGAAGCAGTGATCAAAAACTTCCCACAAAACAAGAGTCCAGGGTCTGATGGATTCCCAGGGGAATTCCACCAAACATTCAAAGAAGAAATAATACCTATTCTCCTGAAGCTGTTTCAAAAAATAGAAACAGAAGGAAAACTTCCAAACTCATTCTATGAGGCCAGCATTACCTTGATCCCAAAACCAGGCAGAGACCCCATCAAAAAAGAGAATTACAGACCAATATCCCTGATGAATATGGATACCAAAATTCTCAAAAAAAATTATCAAATACAGGTGAAGGAGTGAAAGTCTTTCAGAAATACTTAAGGACATATAAGCTATTATAAAAACATTGTAAATTTAGGGTGTTGGGTGGCTCAGTCGGTTAAGCGTCTGCCTTCAGCTTGGGTCATGATCCTGGAATCCCAGGATCAAGTCCCGCATCGGGATCCCCGCTCAGCAGAGAGTCTGCTTCTCCCTCTGATCCATCATTTCTCGTGCTTTCTCTCTCTCATGCTCTCTCTCTCAAATAAATAAAAAATCTTTTAAAAAATTGTAAACTTATATACTATGGCTGAAAAGAGAGTAGATTTAACCAAAGATTTTACACCAAGAATTTGGGAGAAACTAAAATTAAATACTATAGATTTGTATTCATTGAGAAACTCTTCTATAGAGAAGTTGAATGTATGTTCTAAGAACAGAACATAAACAGAACAGAATGGAAAAAAGATCAAAAAAGGCTCATTTGTTTCACTTTTACTCAAAACAGTTGGATCAGAATATCATCTATTGCTGTTTCATATTGAAACATTGCTGAAAAAAATTAAATAAGACACAAATAAATAGAAAGATAGCCCATGTTTGTGGATAAGAAGACTTAATATTGTTAAGATGTCAATATGACCCAAAGTGATCTATAGATTCAATGAAATACCTATCAGAAATTCCCAGAGGCTTTTTTTTTCAGAAACAGAAAAACTGATCCTCAAGTTCATTTGGAATTACAAGGGACACTGAATATCTAAACAATCTTTAAAAAAAGAAGAACAAAGTTGGAAGACTCACACTTACTGATTTTAAGGCTTACTACAAAGCTACAGTAGTCAAGACACATGGACCAATAGAATAGAATTCAAGGTCCTGAAATAAACCCATACACATATGGTGAATTGATTTTCACCAAAGATGCTAAAACAATTCACTAGGAGAAAAGTCTTTTTAAGACTGCACAGCATTGTGAATGTAATTAATGCCACAGAATTGTACACTTAAAATGGTTAAAATGGTATATTTTTTGTTTTATGTATTTTACCATAATAAAAAGACATTTTAAATGAAAACATAAATTTTAAAACTGGAAACTGCAGACCATAAAAACATGCAGCATAGGAAAGACTAGAAATAGATAAGCTAAACTTCTGTTTTACTTGGGATGGGGAATGCTCTTTTCATCATTTCATAAGGAAAGTTAACCAAACAGATTTTATTCATGTACCTTGTTTTTTATTTAATTTTACTTTCCTGATTACATTAATTATTGAATAAATTATAGAAAATTTAGAAATTTACAGAAGACTAAAAGAAGAAAACAAAAATCATCTATAGTCTCATTACTTATGGATAAAGGACCTATCCATCTAGTTTACATATAAATATAATTAAAACAGATTTTTAAGCCACATACCTATGAATCTATACCTACTTTGAAATTTAACTTTAAATCTATGTAGAAACATGTTAACACTAATTAGTTGAGCATCACAAATATGCACAATCTCAATTTCTCCTTCATGCCTTTCTGTGTTTTTAATTTTAGGTGCAGTGAAACTGTTTTATTTCATAATCAGACAAAAAATGGATTTATGATCAAAGGCATATGTATCAATAAAACCAAACCAAATTTTTGTAAAAATAGCAAAATAGCAGTAAAAGATAAATCTTAAAGGGAAACAAATGGATTTAAGTTCATATAAATTACAAACTTATTTCCCCAAACACCACAAACTAAGTTATTTACTAAACAGAAAATTAAGAAAAAAAGATCATAACACATATATGGCATAATGTTAATATATAAAGTATCAAAATTGGTAAGAAACATCATAAGGCATGAAAAATAGAAAGAAAACAAATGAATAATTCCCAAAAAATTATATTCCATTGGTTAGTAATTCTGTACAAATGCTTAACTCATTAGTAATCAAATATATGCAAATTAAAAGATGTTTTGTGATCAAAGTAACAACCGTAAACATAATAATCCTAAATGACTTTGAGATTGAAATTAGGATGGGTTCTTTTCTTCACTATCAAAATATTAGTTTACTCTTTCTACTGGGCAACTTATCAATTCTACAAGGAATTTATCAAGTTCTTCCATATTGAAATTTTTCTTAAAAAATAATTTCAAATACTGCACTCTCTATACACTAGTCATATTGGACCTTCAGTTCCTGCAATGCCCTCTACTCCTTCTTGCTTCAACACCTATGCACAGGTGCATTCCCTACCCTAAATCTCTCCTGCTCTGCCCACCTTACTCTTAGGCATTATTCAGATCTCAAAAACAAAAACAAAAACATTTCAACCTCAGCAGCACCTTCTCTTTTCCCAGGACCAAGTCAGATCATTTGTTTAGCACCCTTTAGTTTTTCTTTCCCAACTCCATAAATATAATTGTTTAAGTTATCATTTGCTATTTATTTGCTTTTTTAGTAAAATATCTTATTCATTACGCTGGCCTCTTGTTTAGTACTATATCCTCAGCACCTAGCAGAGTTAGTGTTCATATTTGAATGAATTAAGCCTTTATATTTAGAAATCTTCTAGGCCTCAGGCCATAGTATAAGGTCAATGTACTTTTGCAAGATGCCAGAAGAGGTTACTCGGTTCACATTCTGGGTTGGACATAAATATTCCTTTCAAAAATCAGCATTTGAAATATGTCTGTGAGTGTGAGTTTGTGTGTATTAACATAAGTAAGTGTAAGAGCCTAGAGTAGAACACCTACTTCATACTGATTCTATCCTGGGTTCAGTCTTGTGTCCCTTGGCATAACTCCGGGACCATGTCGAGTCCTTTGGATCTGTACTTCTAGCAGAAGCTTTGCAAAACTCTAGTTGGTTCATGATTCTGCTTCTTTTCCAATCAGTGGGTTTGAAGAATATAAAGACTCCTTCATCAGTGTTCTGATCCCCTGGCCCCCATGTAGACTCTGCTTCCTAGCTATTTCCTACAGAACATCTACTGCTATCACTATGGCTACTACATCAAACACATGTCAATTACAAACAAATTAAGATTTAAACACTGAAAGTAAAAGTGATCTTTTTTAAAGAATTAAAATTGCACACTCAAAAGACCCGCCTCCGTCTCTGACTCTTACATCCATGTTCTAAATATCAAGACTGATTACAATTCCCTTTGTCTTGCTTTCTGTTTCTACGTGTCTTCTTGGTGAAAGGCTGTCAGTGGTTCAGGGAAGTCGGGTAAAACACAGGGCAAACTCTTGTTTGGGGTGCTTATTCTCACCATCATAACATTTACAGTGAAAATAGTCCAAGATAATTATGGAAGATTTTAGTGATGTTCAATAACACAGTTACAACCAATGTATGTGTGTGTGGTGCAACTAAAACAGATCTTCAAGGACTTCTTCACTAGATTATTCTCCTAGAACTTCCATTTCTCCCCACGCAGGTCTATGCAGCTGTGAGCAGTCTCCCCGCCTCAGAGCACTTGAATTGCCACAGGGCCCTCAAAGAGGCTTGCTTTAGCTTGCTGTTTCCTAGAATTAGGATAAATGAGTGGCCCCAGGGATAGATGGCTGTGGTCATTATACCAAAAATAAACAGCAATTTGTTTTCTGGCAGAGTGAAACATGATATTTCTATGGCAATGCCTATAAAATACAAGATAAAGAGGATGATAAAATATATCAAAACTTTCATTGCTTTCACATGCGCTTCTGTACTGGGGTCTCGGGGTCCAGTGACATTCAACTGCATGCGCCTGTTGTGTCTCCAAAGGGAAATGATTAACAAGAAACATGTAGTCAGGCATAGTGTAAAGAGAAGAATGACTCCTAGATTGAGCAAAATCTGCTTAGTAAAGAATTTACTTTTCTGCATGTTGAGGTTCCAGGTTGTATTTCCACTCTTCATTCTACTATCATTAATCATCTCCACAATTTGTGGAAAAGTAAATAACCTTGAAATAAACAAGGTTCCCATCAGAAGGTGAAGAACCCTATTGATTCTACCCTTCAACCAGAGAAAATATGGTGGGAAAAATTTGCTATCTTCAGAAAATAGAAGATGCTGAGACTGGTGGCAAACCAAATACTTGATTGGTTGATAATTACCCATAAGTAACTAATATAATCAATTAGGTTACCAGAGTAATACATATCTGGAGAGAATATCTTTATAAAACCATCTGTAATTATTATCAATATCAGACAAATTCTGGAAGTAGCTAAACCAGTGAGAATAAAGGCAATCATAGAAAACTTTTTGTTCTTCACACAGTCAATACAGTTGACAAGGCCAATAAATCCATTCCCTAAAACTCCCAGTATTGATTCACTAACTGCTATAAAAATGAGGAGGCCTTCCAGTATGCTTGGCATATCTGCCAATTCCTAATATTGCTTCTGTTACATTTATTTTAGATTACCTTCTGCAGAATGAGACAAATGTTGGCTGTTTGATGGAAGAATTACTTTCTTCTCTTTCATTACATAAAGACTTAAAAGTGCCCCAATAACGCCTTGTGATGGAATCTGAAATGTCTTCACGGAGACGACCTCAGTTTCATCTATAACTTAGCTAGTCTGGAGAACGTGTGTCCAGACTGAATGCCTATATACAATTTGTTAAGATGCAAATGAAAGTTTCTGTTTCATGGATTTCACTTGTCCTCCTGAGACTATTTTGCATTTGTTAATCTGACTTGTGGAGTAGGAGTGCCAAATGTATACTCACAGGAAACAAAACATAACAGAAACAAAAATTGGACTTACTCTTTTAAAAATATCAACTATAACATCATCATTTATGTTGTATTTATGCCAGCTTAAATATATAAAAGAAAAATAGTTTATAGAGGTGACAAATGAATTTAGCCATTGTACACACTTACTCTGAATAATTAAAGATATAAACACATTTTCATTTTCCTGATAATTCAGGCAAAGCACATTTCAAGTTTCAATATAAAGAGAACAAGAGATTATGACTCAATTATATAGAAACACTGAACAATTGCCACTTTGTGCTGGAAATGGACTGATCTGGCAGGCATAAAATCAGTAAGGACATAGCTGGAACTCAACAACACCATCAATCAACAGGATATAATTGACATATATAGACTACTTCATCCAACAACAGCAGATTATACATTTTTCTCAAGCTCACCTGGAACATTCATGAAGATAGACCACCTCCTGGGCCACAAAGTTCACCTTAACAAATTTAAAGAGTAGAAATCATACAATATCTGCTTTCAGACTGGAATGGAATTAATAATCAATAACAGAAAGAAACTGGAAAATCTCCAAATAAGGGAGCTTAAACAACACATCTCTAAAAAACATGTGGGTCAAAGAAATAATCCCAAGAGAAATTTAAAATACTTTGAACTAAAAAAAATGAAAACACAACTTATCAAAATTTGGGGGATGCAGGGAAAGCAGTGCCTAGAGGGAAATGTGTAGCATTGAATTCATATACTAGAAAAGAAGAAAGATCTAAAATCAATCATCTAAGCCTACACCTTTGGAAACTAGAAAATGAAGAGTAAATTCAATCCAATAAGCAGAGGAAAGGAAATAATAATTTGAGCAGAAAGCAATGAAATTGAAAACAGGAAATCAACAGACAAAATAAAACAAAATGCCACTTCCTTGAGAGGTCAGTAAAATTGATAAGCTTCTTAGGTTAACAAAAAAAAAAGAGAGAGAGGACACAAATTACTAATATCAGAAATGAAAGGGGACATCACTACCAATGTCATAAAGATTTTTTATAAAAATCAAAATGAAATCTGAAGAGTAGAGAATTTGCTTTTAGTTAGCATTGCAAAAGTTATTATTTGATTTTTAAATGAATCAGAGTACCTACAGTTAGGACACATTGACTCAAACTCGTTATACACACATAGATATACACAGATTTTTTTAAATTAAATTTGAGCTACCAGGAAAACTTCCAAGGCAGTTCATCTTCATTTGACGCATTTGATATGAGAACAACTATTCTATCAACAAACATTTATAACTGCTCTGACATTATCAGATGCTATACGGGGATGCTCTTAGTACAAGGGTGATTTTATTTCAATGTGTGGAGGAGGTTTGTTTCCCATACCTCCAACAAAAAACTCTCCAGACATCAAGAGTTCTACAATTCAACTCAATTCTCACACTATTTACTAGGAGATGTTGTCAGATTCCACCAGGGTCAGGGCTCAGCCCTATATGACTACCTCCCTCCACCCCCACTTCAGACACACAGGCTGTTACCTGTGCCTCTGAACTAACTACAAATCCGAGAGATTCCCACAAGTTCCTCCTTGGATTTGATTAGTTTACTAGAGCAGCTCCCAGAACTCGGAGAAACATTTTACTTACTATATTACCAATTTATTCAAAAGGATATGACTCAGAAACAGCTAGATGGAAGAGATGCATAGGACCAGGTTTGTGGAAAGGGTACAGAGCTCCTGGGACCTCCCCAAGCAGGCCACTGTCCCCACACCTTCAGGTGCTTACCAAACACGGAATCCTGTCTTTTTCAGATAGAGAATAATGATTAACAATTGGGAGTGCTTCTTACATTATTTGGTAAGATAACATTTATTAAGTAATAAGTTAAACAATGTTTTTTTTTCAACTGGTAATTAAGAACATTAATAGATTCAAGTGACCTTGATGATGAAACACTTCTTGGATGGTAAATAAAAATTCCACTCAAATGTTATTTTCAATTACATTATTAATATAAGTGCTCTGAAATTTTATTAATATTAATAATAACTAGAATTCTATGGCCAGAATCCAGAAATACCTGCTTTGGTTAGGTACTCAAATTCTTTGATAAAATATGAAACATAGCATATTACTATGCCTGTCTTTTTTCTATTAAGTGTATGGGAGAAGAGGAGCATATAAGATAATTACTTCATTCAGTTTCTTACAAAAATGTTGGAAAGTAAAAATATATTTGCTTGAGTCTGTATAAAGAAACACTAGATACACAAAACAACTAAAAGTAATTATTTCTGGAGTTGGGCTTCATTATTTGAATTTACACTGAAGATGCACTTCCAAAAACATAAAAATACCTTAATATTGTAATTTAAAATAAATATGTATTTTTGTCCTCCATCCATGGTTCCTGATTCACAGTTCCCAAAACCCTCAGAATTTCCTAAGTGGAAAATCAGTGGAAGCATCTCACATTATAATATCTAGTCTCTTGTCTCAGTTCCCGAAATTGCTTCCAGAGCCATAAAGGTGAAATGAATGTCCTGTTATCCATAACAAGCCCCTTTCAACCACAACTGAGTTAATGTTAAGGAGGTGACTTCTGGAAAGCCCATGAGGATAGGGGCTAGTTGCTGGGGCATCAACCAGAATTAGAGGGTTGAAACTTTCAGTCCCATCCCCTGATTTCTGGGGTGGGGGGATTGGAGATAGAGGTGGAGTCAATCACCAATGACCAATCATTTAATCAATCATGCCTATGTAGTGAAGCCTCCATAAAACACCAGAAGGATGGGGTTTGGAGAGCTTCCATGCTGGTGAACCAGAATGCTTCCCTGAGTCACTGCCGGGTCCCAAATTCCACCAGGACGGAAGTTCCTTGTTCAGGACTTCATTTTGCATATCTCCCCATCTGAGTTTTTATTTGTATCCTTTGATATCCTTTGTAATAAACTGGTAATCTGCTGCGTAAACCAGTTTCCTGAATTCTGGTGAGCCATTCTAGCAAATTAATAGGCCCGTAGAAGGGGCTTGTGGAAACCCCGGATTTATAACCGGTCGGGTCAAAGCACAAATAACAACCTGAGGCTGGGATTGGTACCTGACTGGCTGTCTGGTGGTACTGAGCCCTTAGTCCATGGGACCTGATGCTATCTCTGGGTAAAGAGTGTCAGAACCGAATGAATTACTTGATGCTATAGGAAACCTCTCCCCCCCCCGACACACACACACTGGAATTGGGTGTCAGAAGCATTAAACACATATGCACAAGATTTTTCATAGCAGCATTGTTTGTAATTGCAAGATATTGGAAACAAACAAATATAAACATAAAAACTTTGTTGAATCCATTCTGGCACTAGGAAGCTATGAAAAAGAATAAGAAATAATTTTATAAATGGATGAAGCAATTTCTTACATATTATGAAATAAAAAAAAAGAAAGTGCAAACTAACATTTGTATAAGAAATAGGGGAAAAAGAAATATGCACATATTTTTTTCTTTTCTTTTTTAAATTTTTTATCTTAAATAAACTCCATGCCACACACGGGGCTTGAGCTCACAACCCGGAGATCAAGAGTCACATGCTCTACAGCCTGAGCCAGCCAGGGGCCCCATATTTGTTTACTTTTTCAAAAATACAAATAGGAGGGGCAGTCCCCACAGCCCAGCTGCGAGCTGAGGAGGCGGCGCTGCGAGGTGGTAAGGCAGCCCCCTCCCCGCTGCCAGAAAGCAGTCTGCCAGCACCCCAGCCCAGACTGCGCCCCCCCATCCTGCTCACCCAGGACAGTGACCCCTGCCGCCCCCCCACCATCGCAGGACAGAGACACACACATCTCAGATCCCTGCCCTCCATCCCTGGGACCCCTTCCATCGGGCAGAGAGCCCACACACCCGTGTCCCCCGCTCCTGGCGGAGGCGCCCAGGAGATCCCCCGGGGGCGCGCCTGGGGCCTGACGGCTTGGGGTCAGCTCCCTTTGCGTCGATCTTGGGGGCACACTGAAGATCTGTCCACCCCCTTAAAGTCCGGTTTCCTGCCCCTTCTCTCCACTGCTGAAATCACCCCCAGGCGCAGTGATTGCGGACCACCTTGGAAAAATCAGGAATTCTCCAAAGTTAGTGCAACATTTAAATCAATTTATGTCTCACCAGGGTCACACCTGCCATTCATCGGTGAACCACTGAACTGAGTGAGGGTGAAGGAGCGGAAGCTTATTCCTTGATTTTCACACAGCTCGTGGGGCTCTTTGCTTTTCCAAAACATTTGAAGCAGCATAATTAAAAAGTGAGTAAAACAAACACAATACAAATAGGAAGAAGAAACCAGAAATAAGTGAAATTGATTACCTATAGGGAGTGATTTAAAATGAGATAGAAGTTATGGAAAGCGGATAACACTATTATCAGTATGCCTTTTGTATAGTTTTGAGTCTTGATGCTAATGTTTGAGATAATAAAATAAAATAAGGGCTGGAGAAAAAAAACCTAAATTGCAAAATGCAATTAAAATACAGCCCTTACTTTTTCAAATTAATAAAATATCCAACGCTGAAGGGAAAAAAAGAGAACCAACCAAAATAACCTTTTTTCCAAAATAACTTTTCAACAGATTTTTGACTATATGTCCGCACATAGGCAT